CAAATCCAAATTACTTGAAATTTTAGGTGTGTGTTCTTCTCATCAAGGCACACCTAATAAAAATATAAAAAAAAATTATTGAAAAAAAGACCAAAATAGCTCCGAAACTTTTCGGGGGTATTTTGGTCAATTTATTTTATGTAAAATATTTTTTTGATATTTTTCGAAGATTCAATTATTTTTTATGAACACACTCTTAAAATTTCAAGTGATTTATATTTGTAGAAAAAAATTAAAATTCAAGCACTACCGGACATCCGTGATCGTCAGATCGGTATGTTCATATGAGCTAGTGCACTAATCCCAGCTTTTTCCTATATTAAATACCCTAAGAACCTGTCCCACTATTCCTTATTCAAGAACTCTGTGATATTATTACCAACTACTAATTACTAAAATTATTGGTTTCTTTTCAACAGGATGTGCAATCAAAGGTAAGTGATGTTGTGCTTGGGAAGGAAAAACCATTGGAAGAAGCTGATCCAGAGTATGAAAAAATGAAGCGTTACGTCTTTGAGCTTGAGGACCACCTTGCAGAGGCACAGAAACAGGCGTTTCGTCTTGTAAAGCGACACAGAGGTAAATTGGTTTTGATTTTGTGTTTATCCGAATTTTATCTTCTTGTTTTGGTTGTACACTCTGATTTATCTGTGTTCAACATTAACTGAATGTTTGGACCTTATTGCTGGGTTTTTATGCCTTCAGAATTAGGGCAAGCACTGTCTGATTTTGGAAAAGCAGTTAAGCTCCTAGGTGACTCTGAAGGAAACCAACTTGGAAAGGCATTTTCTGATTTTGGATCACAATCAGAGATGTTGTCCTTTAAATTGCAAAAGGAGGTTTGTTTATTTGGAGAACCTATTTCACTGTCTTTTTGGATCACTTGGGGGAACCACAGATAATGTTAATATCTAATAGTTTATTCTGTTGCTTGAAACTGTTCAAACAAATTGATAGTGGGTATTTCACCACAAAATTCTCAATGTAAATAGCTTCTGTTTGTTATTGGTATAGGCTCAAGACTTGTTAATGAATTTTGAAGAACCATTGAAGGACTATGTGCGTGCTGTGCAGTCTATTAAGGTATTTTGTTTTTCTTTGTTCAAGTGAAATTTAACATTTCATTATATGGTGGGATATGTAGTGATTCCCACTATGCTGGCTTAGTATCCACTTAATTTTTGCAGTTGGCTTGACATGTAAATGCTTATGGCTTCTATTCATTGGGAAACAGGCCACTATGACAGACAGAGCAAATGCCTTCAGGCAGCAATGTGAATTGGCAGAGACAGCTAAGCTGAGGGAGATCAACTTGTATGTTCCGAGACAAGTTGTTTTTCGAACTGAATGCCCTTTCAATTCTTGTCCACATTTAAAGCCTTTCTCAAGGATCCACAAGAAAAAAGAAAGAAAACACACTTAGTTCTTTGACTTCTAAATAACTCTTGGCATTGTGTCCAATTCATAAAAAGTTCGTTGTTTTTCAAATTCAGATAAAAGTACAAAGAAACTCCAATAAATTGAGATTGAAATACCCTAAGATGCAACAAATTTTTTTAGACAAGGAAAATACCCAAAAATAATGCTGACCAAAAGGTTAGTGGATTCTCCAAATCCCTGGTATTTTACGGTTGATAATCATTCATTTCTATATGTATTTTGTCTTTTCTTTTTTGTATGGGTAACTAGGATGAGTTAGCTTTGCCTATACCTCTGCATTAATTAACTGCATTCCACTTGTATGGCATATCCTTCACTTTTTATTTTTAAATTTCTTGGTTACATATTCATGGTTGTTGTTTGCAGAGAGAAGCTTATTGTGATGCGCTCTGATAAAGTGCCTGAAGTTGAGATTGAATGTAAAGAGGTAACTCTTTATGCTTCTTAACTCGTACAAAAGCCTGCTTTTTCTTTATACTCTCTTTCATGTTCTTATACAACATTATTGTCCCTGAGAATCTAAGGCTATCAGTGGGGCACCCAATCTTTCCAATCTCATGCTGTATGAGTTTGGATTTACACAGCACAGTACGGATTCACACACACACACACAGATGAGTACTAATTTATTTCTGCATGTCTATCATTTGTCAATGTATTGTTGAGCAATACAGCATGATGTGATTTTATATGTGATATAGTTGAAAGCGGAGAGCGAGGAGGCAACAAGAAGATTTGAGGTTATTGTGAGATTGATGAATGAAGAGCTGGTGAGGTTCCAAGAACAAAAAACGATTGATATGGGTGTTACCTTCCATGACTTTGCCAAAGGGCAGGCGCAACTTGCAAATGACATTGCGAATGCTTGGCGAAGTCTTCTCCCTAAGCTCGAGGCTTGTTCACCTTAAATGGTGTTTTTCAGATCCAAGAAAGTTCAAAGTATGATTGAACTGTATAATTTCAGCCCTATGGAGAAAGGGATGACCTGGGCGTCTTACGAAGGCGTGCTTGGCAATATTCCAAAAGTATATGGAGGATTCTGTGTCCATTATTTAACATTGGAAGAATAGTGCTATTTTTTATATAAATTATACGATTCCTTAGTTGAAGATCATAATAATATCATTGTTGGGTTCCCCAACTAGAATGTGGACTTTTTATTTTTATCACTCTTTGTAATATGCTGATTCTATGCATATTTACATCATCAAACATTAGTGTTCTATTGAGGCTTTTCCAGTGTAAGATTCGTTCACATTGTTGATTTTCGGAGTAGCCCTTGTTGGTTTTTTCTACTTGTAACATTGCTCTGAACCTGGTGATTTGAAAATTGGAATTGGGCCGTGAGCACCAAGTGTCGGATTTCAATTCAACCAGTCCGGTCGATTCCTCAGTTGGATCAGGCTACAGTCAACAAGGAAATTAAAATAAATATATAAAAAACTAGGACTTGGTGATTCTTCCTCAAACCAACCCGTAAAGAAAAGTTTATCCAAGGGTGATGCCTTGAACAATCAAATTTAGGCGCACTTCAAAAATTAACTAGAAGAGGTTGTTTAAATGCTAAAAAACTCTAAATTCGAGCATCTCGACTTCAAGATGTATGGCCATGAGGAAAAATAGATTTTAATTATTAGAAATAGTGCATCTTGTAATTGTAATAACTATTGAGATTGTCAATTTTTAAAATTTTCAAGTGTTCATAGATGTTCGATTTATACTATTTATGAATCTTTAAATTATATAATTAAATATGAAAACAAACTCAGTGCATTATATAGATTTTTTATACTAAAAGAACATATTTTGGCATCAGACCCCTTGAAGAGTATAAATTGAGTCCAACTGTGTCAGAAATGACTTTTCTCTGCCATGTTAAGTTGCTAGTGGGTGCGACATTATTTGCTTGTGAAATCAAAAGGGCTGTTTATTTTGTCTTCCAAGTATATCCATATTTAATGAGTTAAAACTGTAGTGCACTAGAGCTCTGATTGGATGGATCGGCGATAAGTATTTCAGCCCATCTGGTCTTTGGTAAAAAAACAAAGTTGGTCGAAAATTGATCAAAATTTTTTTTGATTTCGGTCATAAGTATCTTAGCCCATCTGGCCTGAGGTAAAAACAAAATTGGTAGAAATCCTTAGGTTTTTTATTTAGTCTTCCTTAGTCAATACATATTTAATTAGTCAAAACTATAGTAAAGTGTTGGTATGACAGGTGGGATCAATGTCTTAACAACCTGCATTCTAGTCACCAAACATTCGAGGATATTTGTTTTTCTCTCATACACACAAACACCAAGTAGTCACAATTTTTTTTTTGTCAAAAGTATAAATAGCTAGGTAATATAAATTGGCAACAACAATCAGATGACATTTTCTCTCCTACTCAGCTGCTAAATCTCCATTACACTTCTCATCTTTCTCATCATTGGTTTATGTGCCGCTTGCATACTATCACAGCCTTAGACTTGTCCATCAACTTCATAAACTTCTTTCTCACTCCTAAAACTGGGTGTTTTTCCTATCATAGAATCCTTAACTGTATGCCTCCTTCAAAATCACATGGCAAGTCTTGTTCCTCAGAGAGGAATAAAATATATGAGGATGGCGTTCAAATGCCTTGTGAAACTTTTGGGGCAAGCCCAAATGCTTCCTCAGACAAAGCATTTCTTTCTCTCTCCTAAATTTTCCACAAACAGGCCTAGCAATTCATGCAAAACCCCAACAACTCTCTTCTCTGAAATATCACTGTATGGATTCAAATCAGAGGAGTCTTCGTATGGAGATATATAGGGAAACTTCTGCAATTCTTCGATCCAATCCTCGATTTTTTGCTTTAATCGAAGCTCTTTCGAGGGTAGAGAGAGAAAGCAATCGGCCCACCTTCTCTGTAACTCCTTTCTCTCATAGCTTTTTACTGAATAAATGATATGGGTACCTCTAGTGCTTCACAATTCAAGCTTAGACCTTGTTTTCCATCTTCTATATCGTAGAGAGAGAAAACCCCACTAGAATTTATCTCTAAAACCTTAAACCCAAATGCCACCTCATACATTCGATTATTTGTAAAGGAAGCCTTTTCTCTTTGCTCATGAACAGGAGCTTCTTCAACCTATCGAGGACCTAGGTCGGAGAATTTGGCAGGGGATCTCTTAAGGGTATTGAAAGCACTTTATGCAATAAAAATCTCCATGACACTCTAAAATCAATTTCTAACCCCCACAATAAAAAATAAAACTAAAAAAATAATACAGATCTTGCATATCTATGAACATTTATTTTAAAGCGAAATAAAGGATCTAGATAATTTATAAACTTATAATAAACACTACATTCAGAGCTTGAAATCCTAATTTTTTCTACAACCATATTATCCAAGCCAAGATAATTGATGTAAAGATTTTCCAATGTTTGAATTGTAATTTTCGACGAGTTATGAGGGGCCGCAGCCTTATCAAACCATTGTTCATAAATAAATAAGAGAGTACTCGGTACTAGGCCCCAAAATTCTCCACGAATGTTAACCTAGGGTCCCGAAAGTTTAGGGTGTTAGAAATTTTTGTAGTTAGGTGTTACTTGAAAGAGTGAGTCTCCCACGAAGCCTATCTTTTGGCTAAAAGCACCAAGGAAAATGGCTAAAGTAATGTTGGTTATGCTCACAATTACTTTTGGTCATCAGATGTGAAATTCAAAAACATATCACAATATTTGAAAAAATTTATTTGGGACTGTGTCCAAATAATAAGGCGTCATCAATCACGTAATTTCAAATCTACCAATCAATAACGATTGTGATTTCTTTCGTATCAAAAGTGAATGGCCTCATTATATACATTTCCATAGCTTATTACCATATAATTGTAATCATAGTGTATTTCCACAACCACTAACAAAAAAAAATCGAAGACCATTTCTCGAGATTGGCTTTATCTCTTTATTTAATTAACACATGTAATTTAGGGGAGAGGAAGGGAGCCTCCCATTTATTATGGAAGACCGCCCTACCATCATGTTTTTATGGAACGGTGGCCTTCCAAATATGAGTTTATTTTACTATTAAAAAAGAGGCATGCGGAAAGGTGTGGAATGCGGCCCTTCCAAAATCTCCCTGTCATCAAATGTCAAAGAAAGTGGGATGTTCCACTCCAACTTCCAAAATCTCTTTGTAATTAAACATGTCCTCAAGAGACTACAAATAAAAATAAATAAATAAATGAATACAAGAAAAGATTATGTGATCCGATGACCATTAAAAGTGGTCTAACTCCCCCGAATACATAATTCGGTGACTAATTCATCCAAAAATCTTTAAATGATATTTGATGCACCCTGAGAACAGTTTGAGAGAAAAAAAAAATGCTTTTGACCTCTCAAAGTTGTAGATCGATTTGTCTCCAAAATGGATAATCATCCATCAATCTTTGCAAGAGTACATTTGAAGCACTTCTCAAATCTAGTTTTCATTCGCATGGAATTGATCATGGGTGGACTCCGATCCGAAAATTTTCGGATGTTTTTGGACAATGTGTTCTATGCATCCAATGTTTTTGGACAATGTGTAAATTCCCAAACAATTTACACACTTCACATAAAATTCTTGGTTTCAACTTTGAACTCTGAAGTTTGATTCTTCTTTCACCACCAGTACTTATACCCCCCGCCTTACAAAATCCATCTTAAAGATGGATTGTGGATCGAAAAGATTCCGGATGAATAATCTCCACCTATGATTATAAATCTAATTAAATATGGATCATGGATCCAAAATTTGATAGGTCAATAATCTCTCCACCACCATGATTGTGAATCTAAAACAATAATTAATTTTAAGCCTTACAAATCATTTATTCTGAACTTTTTCTTACTGATTATTCAATTTAATTAGTCGCATGCATGTCCCATATATGTGGAAACCCAGGGTGGACACATGTGCCAGTTGATATACAATAATTTTTTTCCTACTTAAAAGGATTATATTTATTTCAGTAAACCCTTAAGCCCGTTTGGATGACAAGTAATCAAGAATAGAATATCTTAACTGAAATTAAGATACGTAAAATTATTGTGTTTGTTGTTCATATACACCTTATATTATGCGTCATATTATTTAGTTTTTAACCCTTTTTAGTGATTTTCATTTATTCTTAGACTTTTGCCTGATTTTTAGCAAATCACTTTGAATAACATAAAAAAAAGTTCTTAAATAATATGAACTTACATGTAAAACTGTCTATAAGTTTATTATCTTATAAAAGAACAATATAAAATTTATTATGAAAAATAATTATATTAAAATAGTAAATTATTGGTGACACTGATTAAGCACCCCAAAAATCGGTTCGAATTGGTGAATCGGCAATCCAGATCAGCATTTTACTATGTGCAAAAGACAATAAACCAACGAAAAAATAGCAAACTAGCTAAAAACCGCTCCGGATCGATGAATCGACAGTTTGGATTGCCATTTTAATGTAGAGAATCATCATTTTACTATATGGAACCAGTTCCCTTCTAAATTTGGTTGTTTTCCTATATACTCGTAGATTTGTAATGAGGCGACCAATTCCTATGTCTAACCCAGCGATTCCATGAATTATACTTTTGCTCGTGATAAGTACATAAGAAAAAAAACTATTTATTTAGTAATATCGTCGTACTCTCAAGCTTTAGTTTCAATTAATATTTAGTTGCATTTGATGCTCCAACCTTTACTAAGTGCCGGACCACAAAATTTATGGGCTCTAACAAACCAAATGTATATAAATCCCATCCTGTTCATATTCTTTTCAATAAGCGGTCGAGACTTTAGCCTACATTCTATCTCACTCCCTTGCTTTCATGGCCATGGCTACCAAGCTGTTTGGCCACTCATGCATAGCCTCACATGTGCCAACACCTGCCTCATGTTCTCTAGAATCTCCACCCTCCCTTCCATTGAGGATCAATGCAATCAACAGGACTCTAAATTCTGATAAATTTTACAGATGCCCAATTCCGGCCATTTTTGGCAGGATTCCTGCCACAATTGCGAAGGCTTCTCCGGAATCTGGCAGTGTTGGCGGATCCGAAAGCACTGAGGATGCAATTTCTTTGGGAACCATGAAATTGCCACCAAATATCGACATTGCAAGATTCGAAACCTTGCTTTTCCAGGTGAATAAAAATGAAAATTTCGAAATTTGAACTTTAGTTTTGTGCTTTTATTTATTTATTTCCAAGGACTTTGTGAGCTTTACATTTTTTTATGTTGGGATTGTATACTATAAGACTATTTATTATTAGTACAATCAATTTTACCCTTTAGATGTGAATTCCAATTGACTGGAGTGTGCGACATTCAATGAGACCTCCTTAACCACCCGATTTCACATCCTATGGTCATTAATGTTTGTGACCTCCTTTACAAAATAAATAAATGCTCTCATTGTATATATTTCTTTTGGTGTTAGTCTTATAGAAATGGCCCGATTAAAATCACAACTTTACTGATATGGATATGGTGCCTTTAGTCCTTGATGTTCTATACTAAAATGTAAGTAAGTTTGAGTATGATTTAGTAATTTGTGTGTGTTGGGTGAGCATTTTATGAGACTGGGGTGGTTTATTTGATTATTTTGTTAAGAGTGGGTGGTTCAAATGGATATGTAAATAATGGAGGGTTGTTTTGGTTCCTCTTTTTTATTTCTTTCTTACGTTTTTTCTTTAAATTTGTTTTGACAGTGGGCAAACAGCCTATGCCAAGGAGCCAATCTGCCCCTTCCAGTGCCTTTAAAGGTCAGAAATACTCTATTCATGTATGCCTACAAATGTAAAGACCTTTATTTATATTTTGATCTCTCTGCATAATACTAATTCATAATAAAACGGTAATGTAAAATGGGTTGATGGTATTTAACAGCATTTCAAAAACTGGAACCATGCCCCATCTTGCTAGGTGTCTGATTCCAGCTCGCGCAATTCCTGTGTCAAATCATGTTATGTTTAACAAATAAATAAATAAATAAATAAATAAATAAATAAATAAATAAATAAATAAATGCTAAAATATGGGATAATCATATGATTTTGGAGTTTTTTGACGAGAACCTCCAAGCTCCTTAACCAAGCCAACTCCGGCTATTGTGAGACAACTCGGCAATCTTAAAGGATTTATATATATAACTCCATGAACAGCCCACAAGGCTTGAATGTTGGGAGTTGTTATCTTTCACAGAAAGACAGAAGAAATTTTACCTCATTTTGGATGAGCATAATGTTTTACTTAAATTTTCTTTTTTGTAATTTAGCTCATTGGAGGATGCTAGATGTTATACACTACTACAAAATAACTGAAACCAACTTCATTTGGGAAATTGCAGAAATTTATTTGCTCAATTTAAAAGAAGAAATAATCTATGTGTGTATATTGGCTACCAAAATACTCGATTCTAGCCAATCTTCGTCTAGTTTCTAGCAAATTGTAGGTATTTGATATGCTTGAACCAACTGGGACTGCAGGCAGTGTTAGGCCACAGTTGGTTGAAACTTCAAATTCACTTATAGAACAAAATGTGCATCTTTGAACGTTGATTGCATTGATTTCTTTGAAATAAGGCCAACCTCAGTTGGGATTCTTACAGAAGTTCTGGTCCTAATTTCGTTAAGATTAATAGTTTTTATCCACATTTCATTTTCCAGAAATCTAGAACGAATTATTAGAAGAGATGACATCTTGGATTAAGGTTTTGCGCGTGTCATACTATGGTGAATCCTGCAAGGTTAAAATCCGGTGCAAGAATTCAAAATTTTAAAGGCCTCCATTTGCAGGTGGATAAGATAAAAGGAGGAGTTCGATTGGGTTTTGTGAAAATGAAAGGAGATGGATCAACAGAGGATTATGCATATATTGACTGCCTCATTTTTCCAGCTACTGAGGAAAACTCAGGCCCCATTTTCCGGGCACTCAGAAATGGGCCCTTAAAAGACCAGGCTCCACCTGGTGAGCCAAGGATCATGAGGAGTCTAATGGGGGCCCTTAAAAAATCGATCGAAATCGCAAAGATCTGACTTTTAATTTGTTTGTTATAAATGCATTTATGTGCTCATGAAATTCATATGGTGAGTTTCCATTATTATTTTAGCTTTGCTGTTTTTTGCATGGCTTGCATTTACTCTCTCTCTCTCTCTCTTGTTAAGAAGAATTCGATTTACTTATAATAGAAAATATATTGGGATTTTGAGCCATTATGTTTATAAAATGTCCTACAAGTTAGACAGCATGCTGCTTCATTTACAGGAGCAGTTGTTGCTTTACTCCAACATCTAACATTATTTAGAAAAGAAAGGGAAATGGTCATCTCTTTAACTCAAGGGAAACAGTAATCTCTTTAACTCCACATGGCTTCACCTTCAACAATATACCACAAAACAACTCTCACTCCAGACTTCACAACAGAGATAGGGGAGGGAAACAACCATCTCTCGGAAATTAGTTTCACCTCCAACAAATATATTACACCACTTCCAACCAATACATAACAATCATCAATGGAAAACTTCACTCTTTTGGAGGAAATGGGCATCAATCATCACCCTGAAATTTCAATGTACATTGATGAAATGAAGAATATAATACATTAACAGCATAAGAAGTAGCAAAGCAAAACAAACAAAAATAATACACCACAAATAACCCGAACTTCAAAACCCAGATCCCTTGCACCCAAACACTCCCATGACCCAATCTTCCCTATACTTCTCACCCCTCCATCCTTCCCTTCTTCTCCTTCAGCCGTCTTCAGATGAGAGAGAAAATGAGGAAATACTCTCTTATAAGACTCCTCTCCAATGAGCAAATCAGAGTGCCCAAACCCTTCAACCACCACCCTCTTATGAACAAACCCAGGTTGATGCAGCCTCATATACTTATTCGCAAGATTTGAAGTTTCAGGAGTTACTAGAAGAGTTCGACCCCCAGAAATATACAGAGTGTGAAGGCCCATTCTCTCAGGGTGAGCCAAATATACATTTTGGCCTTTTGAGTTGACAATGAAACCATTAATACAAATTTTTCTAAGGTGGGGAAAAGCAGCCATTGGTAATCGAGGCAAGCTCTCTTTGTTAAGGAAATGGTGCATGGTGGGTGTGATATTTTCATGCCAATATGTGTTGCCAAAGAAGCCTGAAAATGCCGAACACTCGTTGGAGTTACATCGCTCATAGCGCGGGACCATGCATGCTATAGATTTTAAGAGAGAGTGGCGCCACCCTTGCTTTGAGGTCTCAAACATGGATATGGTTCGGTAAGAGCCGAGGATTGCCATTGACATCTGAAAAGGGGTTTGGATTAGTAAGTGGGTTCTTCTTTGACATTTGGGAGTTCAGATTTTCTAATTCCTTCAGTAGGAGGTGGAAATTTTATGTTTGGGTTCTCGATGAAATTTGGTTCAGAAGATAATGGAATCTTAAAAATTGGGATATTTTTATTTTTTTGCCTATTTTTGAAGAAATACAATCCTTTTTCAGCAGATTAACCAAAATAAAAAACCAAATTTAACAAAGAAAATGAAAACAAGGAAAAATTTGTGGAATTTAGATAGAACTTCAGCTGCATCTAAATTGTGAAATTTTTAAAACTTTTGGTGGACAAAGAGGTAAGGGCACAGGTTTTATGATTGTTGTGGAATAAGAGAAATCGGTATCATCTTGAGAGAAGGAAATTGTGATAAATAGTGCAAAAGAACTTACAGGGATGAGAGGAAGCCACATCTTCACCAGTGAGGAGGTTATGATCTTGAAGAACATCGAAGTGTTGGTGCACGAGAGAGAAGCAAAATGAGCTGCAGAAACATGGCCTCCCAGGAGTGACATATGCAGGGCTAGGCCTCCCACACAATGTGCAATTGCATGCAGCTTTTGCGCTTGTCCATGGATCTCACATATTTTGTCAATAGCTGCAATTCCCAAAAATGAAAAGATCAAAACATAAATCACATGGAATTGTCATTCATGTTTAGAATGGAATCCGAGAATTATCATTCATATTTAGAATGGAACCTAAGAGAGAGAGGGAGAGGTGGTTTTTTGAAGTTTACCTGCTGGTATATCATATTTGGCGATATCTTCGATCGTGAAGTTGTTTGAGGGGTGGAGAGGATGCAGCCTAGTTTGCAGTAACCAGGTCTCATGTCCATTTTCTAGTAAAGTCCTAACTAGATCCCTTTGTTCAGTTGGAAGCCAGAAACTCTCAGTAGAGTGGCCATTGATTAATAGAACTGGATATGGTTTCCTCTCTCCATCCCACCTCCAAATATTTTCATCGGGTCTCCATTGCCTGCAACTTATGGTGACCCTGTCCTCTGTGCAGTAGGAAAAAAGAAAAAGGCCTATGAGCTTATTACATATTGATATACGACTAAATGAATCATTTCTATTCTTGCTTATATGTTAAAAAGAGCTTATTACCTATAGAAATTAGATTAACTAAAACTCTTTTTGTTTTAACTAACAATTTGCTATAGGACTTAATTTGCTCTCCCATTTTCTGTTTATATTACAAAGAGTACTTACATAGATCATGAAAAAGAAACTGTTTTTCTTTTACATGCTCACGCGCAAGATGGATTCCATTACGTTTATCATGATTAAATGTCTAAAAAGTCAATATATCAATGCAGTTTTTTAACATTCTTATTTAAAATTGGGCAAAACTTTCAAAGTCTTATGTCCTTGTTTCAGTTAATTTGAATTCCATGTACTGAATTTAGGCCATCCATTTCAACAAAATAGCAGTTTGGTATAAGAACAAAATAAAACCAAATTCCTAAAATTTTTAATCCATGATTTTTACAATGTACCTTCATATCTTCACTCACCTGTTATTACATCATGATGCAAACTGGGTGGGTAAGGTTTCTGTTTCACATTAGGAGACTGTATGTGTTCCATTAAGCATCCTCTTGGTCTCTGTAATATATAAGTTCTGCAAATGCTCCGCAACAAAAGGAAAATAAACCTTCCTCTCTGGTTCCCTTTCATTGTTACCAAGCTTTTGAGGAGCTCCAACGCCGAAACATGAAGCTCACCACTGAGCTCTACTTTTTCATTTTCGAAATTGTTGCCATTCCTAAACTTGGGTTCATTTTGAGCGATCTTTTGAAGTGTTATGTGCAAGTTTGTGAGCTCCTTCCATGCATACAAACCTAATAAATATGGATTCATTATCTTCTTCCCTTCAAGTATGTATCTGCAAAAGTTCATGTTTGCCACATCAAGGAATATAAATGTATCTGAGAATATTGGAGTTTCATGTAGAAGCACAAGGGTGCAGTGTATGCTTAGAAAACAGATGAAAGTCTCTCTCTCTCTCTGATAACAAGAACCGTTATATCAGAAGATTCTTAATTTCTTACTCTAGTATAAAGTTTGAAATAGAATAATATCACTGCAGAGAAAGAGTAGATATGATCAGAAAGAGCAGATAAATACCTGGAACCAGAGGCTGAAACTAAAAGCAAATTGTAGTGCATATACTGTGTATAAGGACTTCTACAGTCTACACTGCACATGTCCACTTTCCCATCCAGTATATACAGATTTTCTCTCTCTAAGGCCCTTATCACAATGTATCCACCAACCTTTCCCTTCAAAAGAGAATGGGTTTCTCCACACTTCCTCTCTCCTCCTCCAAAACCCATATCCTCTGCAACACCCATCTCCATTTTCAAGTGAGCAATGCATTTCATTCCACCCACAAAGCCTGTCATGGTTTCACTGATACCCACCGAAACTTTGCCGAAATTCACTGCCTTTTTTGCTGATTTCTCAAAAAAACTGCTTTCAATTCTTGGGTTTTCGGCCTTGTATTGAAGAGTTTCTCTCACTAAGCTTCTACTGACGTGCTCTGCTATAATGGCTATTGTGAGAGAAGGGTTTATGCCCACTGAGCAAGGGACCAAAGACCCATCACACACATAGAGCCCAGGATGAGTTTCAGTGGACGAAATTTTGTCCCCCGGAATTTTGGTGTCGAAAACTTGGCCCGATGGGTTGCACACCCCGGAAGAAGAATCAACGGCTGCAATGCACCCTCCCAGCAAATGGACGGACGTGCTCCGGAACCGGGACATGAACAAAACGCCTCCCAATCTTTCGGCCAGTCTCTGAAAAGTTTGAATCTTTCGGGAAAGAAGCGGGTCCTCAGGTGGGGTGAACGAAATTTCGCCTGTCTTTTCGTCTAGTGTTATTTTTCCATTGCTTAAGTCGAAACCCATGGTGTTTAAGATTACTGCTTGGTTTGCTTTAAGGCTGATTAAGTGGTTAACCTTGTCTATTAATCCGTGTAATAACCAATAACCAGGGGGCCAGCCATAAGATACTATGCCCTTAAAAATTAGGTAGGAGTAAGCAGTTGGTAAAACCCCTGTCTGCAAAAAAAAAAAAAAACCAAAAGAAAAAAAAAAAAAAAAAAAGGTAAATTATGTGGGTTTCGTTTGAATCTCTAACATTGACAATTCTTTTTACAGAATTGTGCAAAAAAGCTAAATTATGTGGGTTTTGTTTGAATCTTTAACATCGATAATTCTTTTTACAGAATTATGCAGGTTTTTTAACAGAATTGTGCAGGTTTTTTAACAGAATTAGGCAATTTCAACCTATCGAACTGATTCACAGATTCGTGAAAGAACAGGTCAGTTCCCTGCCTAACACAATCTAGATCGATGATTCTCGAAAGGGCTCGTTGTTTTGTAAAATAATACCATGATCCTTGTGATCATGAAAAAGCAAAGCTGTGGTCACAATTATTACTACTATCCAGCTATGGGATAGGAGAGGGTGAGAACTACCAAAGCCTGAATTGAGTTAAAATGGTATGTCTTACTCACTCCGTTGAAAGGAAGGAGATGACATGAATGATCACAGCTTTTTTTAGTTGTTATGGATCACACAACATACACAACATAGTATACAATATATTACTCATGATGAGTATGTCATTACTACAAAATAGGGTGTCAAATAATGGAATCGGGTGTTGGCTCAGGCACCCGATGATCGGGTGCTGGCTCGGGCACCCAATGATCGGAGTTCCCATGATCTAACTCAGGTGCATCCCAAGTAGCACGGGGAATTTGAAGAACCTCAGGCAATTTCAAGATTTTTCAGGCCAGAATTGCTAGGCTTCCTTTCCAGTCTGACTCTGGCAAGTCCCAAGTCCGACAGGCTACTACTTAACACAACTATAAACATGATAAAACTATCGATCAATCCAAGAAGTCTCTCTTTTGGGGTTCACATGCCATCTGGTCCGAAAACATGCTACAATTTTTCAAATTTCTATATCGGTAGAATCGAATTCTTCTTACATGTAGAATAAGGGTACAAACCTGAACTGTAAACCCTAGAGAAGAAGTGTAGGAAGAGCTAATGGCTGGTCCTGGTCTATCTTGGAGAGAGATATTTGGAAGTTGGTTCTTTCTGAGGCCATATGCATTCAAAGGAGCTCTGCTTCCTGCTACATAAGCCACATTGTTTCCATTTCCACTGAACCCACAACCAAGCTTCTCTGATGCTCTTAGTCCTCTCCTTTGGGATTGGAACAAGATTTTAGTGGTACCAAAAACTCCAGCTGCAAAAAATCTCATCAAATTATTATGAGAATAAAGTTAAAATCTCATCAAATTACTATAAAAACAAAGTTACTTTATTTAATTGGTGTCGAAGTTTGAGTGAATTGATATAAAGCATGGATTGATGGAGTTAGTTACCTTCTTTTTAGTTAAGGGTTATGTTGTTTATTTAAATCTGAAAAGTATGAAAGAGAAACATGTACTGTAATGATATGCAAAAATCTATGTCATCCTCTAAATACAGAATTTACAGCTCCAAAGTAGTGTAGATCTAGCGGATTTGTGAAAACTTGAAATGGATGGATATCTTACCTGATAGAATAACGAAATCTGATAATACGAAGTTTATATCATCCAAGTAAACCCTCCATCGACGTTGCTTACTTCCAAGCACTCCATCTTTCAGCGGGTTCTTCAGTACGTACTGGACTTGGCATTGTGTCCTCACCTCACATCCAGCCTGTTGGCAACAAGGCAAACGAAATCAAATCAATGGTCATAATCAATGTTCCAATACTCGGATTGGTGGGCAGATTATTTACCCATAGATTCGTGGTGGATCGATGATCCAATGATTCAGATCGAGTCTAGATTCGTCCAAATAAGTGATCCAAAAAAATATTAAAAATAAATAAAATAAAATAAAATAAAGTTTAAAATAAGCATTTATGGGGTGGGGATTAAGAGGGGACTTAAGAAAACATAAGCTGAAAAGAAAAAGTATGTAGAGGGGTTTTAGGGGGAGACTTGGCTGGCACCTGTGCCATCATGGAACCGGTTCTATTCCAACTAATTCCTATCCAGATCTACGATTCGGATTGAAAATCGCCAATTTTTTTTAAAAATGTCTTTATTATCCCTTAAGACAAAATTTCATCAGTTTTGGAGCCCTTACATTTAAAACAGCAGGCAGCAGGGGGGAAGGGGGGGGGGGGGGGGTGGGGGTGGGCGAATTTGTGAATTATATACTGTAAGAATTTAATCGCACTTATGTTTTGGATTTTAATATAAAAACCAAGAGCACATTGCTCAATTATGGCCCGGAAGTTTAGGTTGAACCTTTGCTTGAACTGTCCAACTAGGAGTTCCAAATTGGTTACTAAGGTTAAAGATGATACCTAAGTTCTAATCCTAGGAATGAGTGATAGTTGTTCGCATGCTTCAAATTTAAAAATCATCTACATTGAATAAATGGGTTATTTCATTGGAATTCTCCTTGTACTATTCCAAGTGAGAAAATCTTGTGAAATTATTCGAGCTGCTCATACCTAGCAGCTGGTGTTATCAATTTCATCATCATCATTAGAACCTTTTTCTAAATATTTGGGGGGTCGGCTTAACGAATCCTAGTTCGCCATTCTGCTATTTAATTTTGTTTCATGGGCCATCTTTGACATTGCAACGTTCGAGATTCTCATCGGTACAACTTTTATATTTTTGAGTAAAGTTTCCTTCGTTGTCATTAATGTAAGCTTAAAAACCCAACAAAGTGAAAATATCACTTGGTCAAGCCATCTTATAAAATTATTAAGGTGGTCATCCCATTTAAATGGCCAGTTTAGAAGTTTTATTTCACCTAGATACTTTTTCAAAAATTCTATTTAAAAATATCAAAATTGCCTCTGTTCAATTTTTGGAACTTTAAATAAGTAGGGCATTTTGGTAAATTAGCTCCACCTAAGAGGCACAAGCCAAATGATGTAAACATCCCTCTTTGTTTAGACATAGGAACTCATGATAAGGGTTTCAATTGAAAAACGTGATTTTTGTGTTGCTAACCTTAACCATAGAGAGATAAAATTATCATTTTGCTAGATCCCATTAATTAAAGTGCAACAATGATAATACCCCTCTTTGTTTAGACTTACAATTAGGGAACATAGACTTTCAGTGAAAAATTGAGTTTTGTGTTGCTAGCACTAAACAAAGAGAGTAAAACTATCATTTCCCTGTTAATTAAAAGGCAATAATGATAATACTCCTCTTTGTTCAGACATACGAACATGAGACAAGGATTTTCAATGAAAAATCTTGAGTTCTGAATTGCTAATTTTAAACAAAGGGCACTTAAATAGAGCGAAAATATTGAAATACCTCTACTAGTTCAGGCTCCCAAAAACTAAACAAGGGCATTTTTAATAATTTTTTTGAGGTGGAGCCTAAGTGAAATGAAACATCAAAAGTAATCATTCTAATATTAAGTTGTTAGACCATTAAGTAATTATCCACTCCTCCATACCAAAATGAGAGGGAGAGAAAGAGAGCAACCTACCAGTATTCATACTTATAGTCCCAGCCCCTACCGGTAAACAAATATACAGCGTGATAGTTTACCTTTGGTATAGAAAGTTCATAATCTTCTCCATTAGATGTAAAATTGGATGGTTGGACATGTTCTATTAAACACACTCAAATTCCATAAAGTTCTTCATGAACATTGTAATGCATCCAAGCCACCCGGTTTTACATGTTATAGCTAAGAGCAATCTTGACCTTCTTGTACCAAAAGTAGACATGCTTTATAGTATAATCCCACACTAATTCTATTCTTTGTGTTACGCAAGTAAACTAAGATTCTTGAATCCCAATCATAAACTTTAGTACTAGAAAATATTCCATAACTTGCACAATTATGAATAGAATATTCATACCAATATTCGTTGTCCTTAGATGCATGCCTCCTTTTTTAGTAAGAATAGTTACTCAACACTGGGCATAAGTAAGCACAGAGTTATGAAGATTGGGTGTTGAGTATGAGTACATAAATGTTATACGAAGTATAGTGTCTAGTCTCTTAGTATATGTGCATCTCTCCCACTCTCTCATGAGAAACAAGAAATAGAATAATATGAAAGACTTGCCTCAATTGCCAAAGCTAGATAATTCTTATCCATGGAGTTCTTTGCATTGTAAGGACACCCTGCAAGACAATTCCCACATGCCAAACACTTCTCCAGCCTTGGCAAGCCTGGCTCATTGCTGAACTTCACGGCCAACCTCACCATACTAGGACTGCTATCTTCAATCTCGTCTGCAATCTCTTCCATCACTCTACCATTTCCAAATGCCATTGGAACTTTTTGTGGCCTTAACATGGAGGAGGCCGAGGCCTCTGATATCTCCCATTCTTTGCGCCATTCATCAGGCCATCGCGGGTCTCTCGTTGCACGCACAGGTGTGGGCATGAGAACGGCGGCATTCACAAGTGAGCCGCCTCCAAGCCCACAACATACTGTCGCAAATGAGTCATGCTGCATAAACATCTAGAATTGCACCACAAATTAGAGGACAAGCTATTTACCTTTTATACCCTTAAAAACCAAATGGCAATTGGCTTAGGGTCATGAAGTTCCTTGAATTAACATGTCTCATTCAAATATATGAGTTTTTGGATATTTTCTAAGTTTAGTATGCTGTGGAAAGTTTGACTTGTTTAAATTCACATTTTATCCTATAATTCTCTAAAATGTTGACAACTAACCCATTTTTCATTGAAAAATTGGAAGAAATTCTAATCTGAGGTAAAACTTTGCGGAATGGGTTTTTGCCTGGGTTAATTGATAAACCAACATTTTTCAGCGATTTCTTTGCTTTATTTAATGAGACTTGTATCTTTGTGATCATCACCCAACATTTCTTAGCGATTTCTTTACTGTATTTAATGTGACTTGTATCTTTGTGATCATCAACCAATATCATTTTAGTTTCAACCAGTTCCCAAGAGAGTGAAACTTAGAGAATTCTTTAATTAGTATTACCTTGGGCCCGGTTTCATCCTAGGAGCTTATTGCCCAGATACTAATGTAGAGCTATGTCATAAGGAATGCCCACAAGAAAAACGACCAGAATTTTTTAATATGAACTCCGGTAGTCGTGATTCTTGTGTTGACAGAACGATCTTGAGTAGTATATACAGGGAAAGTCTAGGCATGCCTTTAGCAAGCTAAAACTCTGTGGCAATTCGGCATCATTGGCCCCTTGAAGTCAGAGTCAAAGTAAAACTTCCTATTTGTACAAACTTTGATCAGGAATAACTCTTTTTCTGCAGGGATTTTGTAGAAGCTGCAAGAGAGAGTTTTGATATAATTGTAATTTAGAATATGAATTGTACTTTCTAGTGAATTTACTATAATTAATAAGAGAAATGATCCTACAGGACCCTCTCCCACCCATGTGTGTAGGACCTCCAAAAGATCACCATTAAAGTTAGTACAAATCTTTAGAAAAATCAAGTTTCGTACCCAAGTGATAATTTATCTAGAGATCCGTACCAACTTTAATGGTGATTTTTTGAGGTCCTATACACATAGGAGGGAGAGGGTCCCATAGGATTATTACTCAATTAATAATTACTATTGTACTAAATATCACCCCAAGTAAAGTTGCCGGGGATAGATATTGAAGAGAAGGTAATGGAGGAATAAGTACTTTCATTCTTCGATTTTGCTTCTTTTTTTTTCTCGCTTTCTTTTAGGGCTACGAGAAAATCCGAGTAGTATGGGTTGGAATGCGTGATTCTTTCTTCTCCAAATCGGTTCATATATTTGGCCACGACTTGATTGCATCACAAAGAGATAATTTATGAAGGGCATCTAATATTTAAAGACAATGAGAGCATCCCATGACTCGGGGCCCAATTAAGCATAACCAAAAAGAGGTTGAAATTTATCTTCTTAACTATGAGTTTGTTGTTCTTTACAGCGACGGATCCAGGTCCGACTATGGCGGACACTGTTTGAGTGACTTCGGTTACAAATGATGTTGCCTTTCAGGGATTTTAACATGGTTGGAAGTCCACCTCTAATATGTAAGTTGTCTTTATAACAAGGTTCAAAACAAATGTTTCCTTTCAGAGATTTTAACATGGTTGGAATTGCACCTCTAATATGGAATTTGTCTTTAAAACAAGGTTCAGAAACTTTGTTTTGACCTTGGTGAAGGGCTAGAACCCAGCTACTAGACTGTGAACTAGTTTTCATTTTGTCAGAAGTTCATTGAGCATCATTCCCATAGGGTGCAAGCATTCAGAAGAGTTTTTGAAGTACAAAGGCCACTAGTGACTATTGGCCACAGTTAATTGAGAACACCCGAATCCATCCACTTATTCGAATTGTCAATTTGCTTGGCCCATGGCTGAAATCTCATTCCTAGTTTGTGGGACAAAGATTTACCGCGAACAATGTGAAGAACAAAGCTTCTCTGTGGTTAACACACAAAGATGAAGATTCGCCATGGTTAAGGGCAGCATTTGAAAAGTCGGCCTCAGCCGAGTAATCCCCCAACTTGGGATCGTAAAATAATTTTAAAAAAATTATAAAAAATCTTAAAAAGTAAGAAATATATTTGTAACATGTTTATTTATGTTTTCTAAAATTTTGGCAAAGATTCGAAAGTATTTTGGCCATGGATACTTATTTTTGGCAAAGATTCGAAAGTATTTTGGCAAAGATTCGAAAGTATTTTGGCCATGGATTCGAAAGTATTTTGGCCATGGATACATTTTTTCATTTTTTAGAAAATTTCAAAAATACCTATGATCACAAACTCATTTTTTAAAATCTATTTTTTTCTACTTTTTAACCATAATTAGTTGTGTTTTGTTAGATTTTGCTCTGAATATATTTTTCTTATTTTTGGTATTTTTTTATTTTTATTTTAATAATTTTCAGGTGCTATAGTACTTGGCTGGGGCATGGCCAAGTAGTCTACCGATTCAACTTTTCCAACACTGGTTAAGGGGTTAAAAAACGATTCACCATGGTAGAGGTTATATCAGTGTTAGAAAGTGCGACTCAGACCGAGTAATCAATCCTGGCTCGAGCTGATTACTCGAGTTGAGTCCCAGTAACTTGAACAATTCGTGCCGAGCAATGCCGCAACAAAAAAAATAAAAATATTATAAAAAATATAAAAAGAACCCAAAAAAAGAGAAAATGTGTGTTTAAACTGTAAAGTAAGATTAAGCAAAACACTTCAAATGATGGTAAAAAAGTAGTAAAAAATAGATTTTAAAAAATCAATAAAAAAGTAGTAAAAAATAGATTTAAAAAAATCAACTTGTGACTAAAGGTATTTCCAAAATAATTCAAGAAAGATGGAAAAGGATAGAAATAAGTAATTATGGTCAAAGCACTTTCTAATCTTTGCTAAAATGATAAGAAACATAAAACAACATATCTCAAATAAGTTCCTTATTTCTTAGAATTTTTTATGATCTGTTTTGAAATTTTTTTAATATCCTTGAGTTGGACACCCAACTGGGATTTGACAAGGGTCCTAGCCCGAGTAACTCGGCTGGGTATAGATCTTTCTATGTAAACCCACCCACATATATCTTTTATATGTGACCCCTGATTTATATAAGCAGATGGCTGAGATAGCTTGAGTCACAATGTCACAAGTTAGCTCTTAATCATCAGATTTTGATCGAATGACTCATATTTTTTTCTTTTTATTTTACAAATAGTTTTGAAGCAAATTTTGGGGTATGCATAGACTGACAGGGGTGCACACGATAAAAATAATAACAAATATTTTTCATGACAAAAATTATCATAGTACCCTCGAAAATTACAGGGGTATTTTGGTCATTTATTTTTACAAAAATGTGTTTTTCGGATTCGCTCCAATTTTATGATGGGACACTCAAAATTTCATCCAAAAATATTTTGTAGGAAAAAAAAAAAAGTGTTTGGAATGACATTGTGGCATGAACAATCTTAGCCGTCGATTTTGAATCGAACAGCAAAAAAAGTGGGGTCATTTAAGGCTTTAAAAGACCCTAAAGTCAACATTATGGACCATTATCACTACATATAAATCGTTAAAAGTATAAAAGCTAGTTAATGGAGCCATCAAGTAGTAAGGGAGATAAATTTTCGCATGCTTCAACATGACTAATATTTGTAAGTATAGATACTGTTGATCACTCCAATGCAAGATTTTTAGTACTTGTAAAATTGATTTTTGAAGACCAAATTGCCAATATATTCATATATCCTTGCCTTTTCCCATGGTCTTTGGTCTATACTCGTTAGTACTTATGATGAGCTTTCACTAATTTACAACTTGCCAATGTCATTTCCATAACAGACAAGCAGGGCTAGCGATGGGCCCACCCGGCTAGCCTGGCCCAAAAAAAAGTAGGGCCTGGGCCCAAACTATGGTGTGAGGGCCAAGGCCAGCACCGTCCCGGTTCGGCCCAGCCTTGCTCTAGTTTTCTTCTTTTATTTATTTTTCATTTGTTTTTGGTTCGGCGCTAACTAGACAAAGGCCGGGCCAGGAACAAGGCTAGCCCTAGCCCATTGCCACCCTTACACAAGGAGAACCAAGTACCTGAAAAAGTGCATCCTTCTTGCCAAAACAAAAATAATCCTTTGCTTCCAACCTTGATTCAGATAGCACCTGGAAAGTGTTGGTTGGAAAGTTTTGAGCTTCCCATCTCCTTCCTTTCTCCATCAAACAAACCCTAATGCCCGCCTGCGCAAGCCTACATGCAGCCACCGAACCCCCATAGCCCGAGCCCACCACAATCGCGTCGTAACCTTCTCCATCCTCCATCTCGTCAGAGCTCAACCAAACAAACTTCAAACGAAGCAAACTTCAAAGTTCACACAGATTTGGTCATGACTAACAATTGCATGTCACATATAAAAAATGAACATTGGAATCTCAAAGTGTACACCGAACCTCAGTGCATATTTATTCGGTTCGTTTCACTGGCAGCTGGCTCCGCCGGAATTGCATAGTTCTTAGAGAGAGAGAGAATTTGTTCAGTAAAGTCTTTTAAATAATGGATTCAGTGTTTGTCTGCAACGAAGAGGGGTGTATATTCTCTCTTGTTTTTGATGAATTTATTTTCGAAGAAATCAAGGTCTACGATTAGTATGAGGCAAAAGATTACAAGTATGAAACATAATTGAAGTGTAACTGTGGATATCGTCCCCTGTCCGTTTTCCACAGAAGAAATATGAAAGCCTTAAATAAGATGGGTTTGTCTTTAAAAATAATAATAATAATAAGAAGGCCGTAACCAGTGCTGATTCCACCTAAGCAGGGCCTCGGGAATGGGTTTGTCTTAATATAGGCAAATCTCCCTCACTCTCCCACACATTTGTCTTTTTGTGAAAGTTTGAATCTCCTTCGAGGATCCCGCTACTCTGTTCCATGAGAAATTCAATTAACCATAGCTCATTTGATCACATTGCACTGTTACACTTGGTCAAAAATCGTATTTAAGAGCATTTTTTTACCAAAAATTTTGGGATCTACTTCATAGTCACCAAATAAGTATTTCTAAGAAAAAAAATTGATATGGGTTTCTAATGTCTGGTTGTCCAAAATTTCCTCCATTTAATTTGATTTTTTTCGGGCACATAGAGTGCTTAAATTTAGTTTTTATTTTTGTCTTTTTTTTAGATTGATGGATATGTCGAGAAGGATAGATCACCAAAAGTTAGGGCCCTAAAAATACTGGGATTTTACTGGAGGGAGTGAATGCATATTATGCACCCGCAGGTGCACATAATCATTTGTTTTGTTAGCTTGGCTTCTAAATATCACCCGAAAACTTTCAATTATAAAGTGTTTAAGACGTTGATGGTGTTGGATTCCTGATATTGAGATGGGTTGGGGCATGGAAGAGCCAATCAGAAAAGAGGTTTGCAAAATCAAACTGTGAAACGATTCAACGTCTCTTTTCACCTATCCACCACTGTCTCTTGCTAAGTGAATCTCGATTCAAGCGAGGGTGACGTATGATCGCTATACAGCTCTGGCAATGGGCCAAGTGTCGGTAAGGCCGGCACTCAAAAAGTAGGGCTTGGGTCACAATTTGTGGGCAGAGGGCCGAGCTAGGATTAGTGCCAGCTCGTTTGGCCTGAGACTCTTTTTCTCTGTTTTTTCTTTTACTGTCTTCATTTATTTTTTGGCCCAGCCTAGGTCCTGCATGTTTCCACCCTTATCGCCATAAGCCTGTCTCTCTCTCTCTCTCTCTGTTGTTAATTAAGACGAGATCCAAAACAAACACCCCAACTTTTGCCTATGAACTCATGTATGGCTGTTGTTTATACTTGTGAAAAGAATCCGGGCTTAATTTGTTAGTACTTGACGATTGCTTCTTAGGCTCAATTCCTACCTGGGGTAGGACCCTCTTCCCACTTACTCACCCAAAAAATAAAAATTAAAAAGAAGAAAAGAAACTGGTGATGCATACTTGTATGTAAAAAAGAGGAATCTCATTTGGTTCCTCCAGGGCCTCGGGTACCGTTTTGGGCCCCATTTGGATGCCCGTTAGGGCCTTCACTTGAATAGCTATCGGATAATGTAGGTAATGGGGTTTAAAAAAGGTTGCAATTTGTATAAAGTGTTAATTTTAAACAATAAAATTAAGGCACACATCCAAATCTTATTACAAGATGCATTTATGGTATTGGAAACCCATACGGTAACCTAAAAATCTATTCTCACATGTAATTGTCAAATTTAAAGGTCTAAAAATAATTTAGATCGACTAGATCTATAAACAATTAAAATTTTTACAAATAGATGGTTTAGATAATGTATACATGATGCAATATTTTTGGGATTCAAAATCTTGTTGTAGATACCCCATTCTCTGCTAAAGGAGTTTCAGGAAGCCAAGACCTCGAAAAACTTGGAGTATAAGCCTAAATTTTTCCTACACGAACCCCTAACCAAAACCTTGAAATTTGTTCCGTCGAGAACCCATCGTTTGACCTAAACTAAACTAGGGACCATACTATTTCCATACACCCTAGGACCACCATTTCCCATACACCATATTATTGGATTTATGTGGCCTTTAAAGGTCTTATAAGTGTGTAATGAAAAACATTTATTATAGTGGAACATAAACTCAGTAGGAGTGTGGTCCCTCGAAGACCATACTAAGTAAATGATATTTGCGGATACAAGACTTTGATTGATGATCTAGGTCAGTCGGTTGGAAAACCCAAGGTACTTGGGCATAAAAAATAAACCGAGAAGGGTTTTTGGGTTAGCTCTTGATGAGGTCGGAGCTTATGCCTAGATGAGTGAGCCGAGGGACTGTGTGACCCTTGTGTGTGATGATTGGCGTACAGAGACGGGGGC